CTTCTTTTTCTTTCTCTCCTTCATGGCAGTCATGAACTGAGTAGCTTCCCTCTGGCCAGGATGTTCTGTCTCTCTCAATCAGAACTATGAAGTCAATCGACCATGAACTAAACTTTTGAAACTGAGAGCTCCAAATAAATTTTCCTCCCCTCAATTGTTCTTGTCAGGCATTTGGTCACAAATAAACTAATATAGACTAACATTCCACTTAAAGCAGCACTAGCAATCAAACCTAGGGCTGGCTCAGTGGTGGAGCCTAGTACATGTGAGGTACTGGGTTTGATTCTCAGTAGCACATAAAAATAAATTTTAAAAGTAAAGGTTCATTGACAACTAAAAAAAAGTACTTAATATTTTATTTTTTTCATCCTCCTTGAAATTCAAAGATCAAAGGAATATGGCTGTGTTGGTTTTTGCATTTTGTTTGACAGTCAATGGGCTAATCTGATTTACAAACCTGAGCCTTTTTCATCTCTCCAATAAACATTTTTCCTCATATTTTTGTGGTTACAGATTTCTTTCTCATTCTACTTTTTCTCTAGTTTAGGAATTTCCATCATTTGTTTTTACATCCTGTAATGAATATCCTTCACTTATCATTATATTTATTTTTTGCTGAATTTATTTTTCCCTTCATCCACATGATTGCCCTGGGAACAGAAAAATATCTGACCCTTTTCATCTATTTGTCTGTTTTCTTCAATATTCTTTCTATTATTGATTGCCTGCACTGTAGTTTTTCATTTTACAGTCATGATGTTTTAAGTATTATATTATTTTTCCTTCATAGCCACCTATTCCAACTTGCATGGATTCACTATCTCCAAGAATCATTTTGAGAACACAAACTTAAATTTTTACAAAGATTTTCTCCTATTTCTGTATTAATTCTTCTACACAAGAGAATATCTACTTTGATTTGTTGGTATGGTCCTGAAACTATGTTCTACAGTGCTCCATTTGCAGAATGACACATTTATACTGTTTCTCTTTGCAGAGGAAGATCAGACCATTGAGAGTAAAGAGAACTTCGTTCAGAGACTGCAGATTTTAGGCAAACCCAAACAAAGTAAAGATCTAATCATCTGGTCATTTTTCCATACCTTCAAACCAAATAAATATGTAAATACCATGCCATAGACTACTCTTTGCACTTCTTTTATATACAAGTTTTCATTCTAAACCTTAACTTACTTGGGGTGAAATACTCTTCTACTCAAGTGCATAAAATTCTTCTAACTTCAACTTCATGGATTACAAGAAATTCCATAGATTGCTTCTTCATGTATGACTCCTAAAACTAGGAAATATTTTAGGTGTATGTTTTTAATATAAAAACATACTGGAAATATATTTGGAATTCAAATGCATTCAGCAGATTCCTTGAAGTGTCTGTGACTAAAGAATGTAGTAAATCAGGAGGTACTTGGTAGTGAAATTCATCAAATATGTGTATGCATGAAACTCACTATTCTGTATAATTGATATGCACAAATAAAAATAATCTGGTTACTACTTTCAGAATAATGTTAATTTATATTTGTTGATGGTTGAGTTGTAAAATGAACCTCACCAATTTTTATGCCTTTCACTGAATGCTATTGCCTGTTCACATCAGCAGTACTGTTTACCTCTAACTAGACAGAATTACACAGCTCAACTTCCACCAATCTGACTGAGGAAGATCTCTGTATCTCAATGGACATGTTGCTGCTAAATCTGAATATAAAATTGAAAAACCTGCACACTGGACAATCTTCTACTTCTCTGCTAGTTGTGTGATTCACTTGCATCATAATGATTATGTTTATTAAGTTTCCCACTGTAAAAAAAGTTTCTGGTCATAAGCATGGGATTTTTTTTCTTTAAAATCTAAATTTTTCAATTATTAAAATATTATTATTATATAGTTGGCACAGTGGCACACACCTATAATCTCAGCAGCCCTGGAGGCTGAGGCAGGAGGATCTCAACTTCAAAGCCAGTCTTAGAAAAAGCAAGGCACTAGACAACTCAGGGAAACACTGTCTCTAAATAAAATATAAAATAGGGCTGGGGATAGACTGGTTCAGTGTTTGAGTGCTCCAGGGTTCAATCCCTAGTACCAAAAAAAAATGCTCATATAGTGCAATGCATTACAAAATTTACCTCACCTTTCTTAAAATGCTTTTTCATAATTTTTCCAAACATAGGCACTTTAATATTTGTACACAATGGGATTCTAGTCAAGAATATATAATTCCTACACATGTTCATGAAAACATTTGTATAAACTAAAAATATAGAGCAACATCAAATTTAATGAGAAGGAGTTTTCAGGAGTCAGCAGATTCCTAAATAGATCCACGTCACAAAAGGGTTTAATTACAACTGTTCCTTATTGATATGCTTTCAGAATATTGTTAATTTATATTGTATAAGTGGCAAAGAAGTGCAATAAAATTCAAAGCCTTTCTTTTTTATGTCTTTTTTTTGATTTATGTGCAGTGAACCCATCCTTTAGAAAGAAGAAAATAGAGCACCTAGACTCATCTAATTATTACAGCCAATATGTTTTAAATTTAAACTACGTTGTTCTCAGAACAGTTGGCCAATATTTAAATAAGTACTCAAGCATCTAAACTGATGGTTTAATACTATATTTGTGATTGTCACATATCAAAATCATACTATAAAAACCACTTTTGATGAAAATAAAGATGTCTCATTTTACTACCAAAGATAAGCTTAAGTCCTTCAGTGTTCAATTAAAGTAAATCCTGTCTTGGAGAACGTAATTAACCAACTTATGTTCATGTATGAATATGTGACAAGGAATCTCACTACTATATATTATAATGTGATTATAATGCACTAAAAAAACTTAATTCAAAATAAAATACATATTATAAGTAATTATATTTTTATTTCAATATTATTTCAACATTCTGCATATTCTTCTCTCATCTTCTTTAGAAACAGTGGACATTGACTCAGAAATCTTTGAAAAGTCTTCACATATCTGAATTCAGAAGCTCCAAAAATCGATTCATCCATGGTGATTTTAATGATGCTTCTTTCCAAGTGGTTTCTTTTATTTAACAAAATTTCAAAAACATCAAGTAAACATAAAAAATTATTTTATTTAATGTGTACTTGTTTATGCATATTTAGTGGGAAAGAGAGGAAAAATAGGTGTTCTACCTAACACAAAATATGCTATTTCAAGGATTATAGACAATAGCTGTTTAACAGTGCTTGGTTTCAACTGAAGTGCTCAGGGAATTTTTTAAAATATAAAAGGAAATAATACGCCTAGTTCACTGAAAAGAGGAATTTACATAAAGAGAACATAATTATCCAAGTAAGACCTTGTCACTGAAACTTGGGAGGGTTAATGATTATGATGATAATTAAAATGCAGAGGATTCATAGAGTACTTATTTGTTTTCTGAAGAGCTCAGCATACTTCTCGCATATTCTTCTCATTGATCTCTGTGTGATAGCTATATAACAGGCTGTTTAAATGCCTTAGAATAATGGAAAGAAATGCTTGTCTTGTTATAACCATAAGTGATCATAAGCTTTTGGATTTTGCTTCACCTGAAAGGCAGGACCTCCTGTGACACAGCTTTTTGAAACATCTTTTCAGGCCATCATTATAAAACTGACTCTGAGGAAAGAGTGCCACCTACTGAATCAAATTTCCCGGGTGCCCTCTAAGGGATGGGCTCTCAGCTTCAGCATTGTCCTAACTTGCCTAACCACAAAAAATAATGGTATTACTGCACTGTGCATAAAATCATGACATATTTTTGTTCCTAACATCAACCACATTAACTATATAGCAGTCACATCTATAAATTAACTATTTCATTCGTAAGCTTTTCATTTGTTTTAAAATGTACATGCAAAGATTAAGCGAACCTAATTTTTCTGAGAATTTCCCAAATACCTGAATGTCTGTATTGTCAAAGTGACCACAAGGGGGCGCGAGCACGCAACTTCTTATGGGGCAGGAGGCTTGAGGTTAATTAATTGAACTCTTCATTTCTAGCTGACAGATAGGGAGAGTATATAACTATACCGTTTGAAACGTCTCAAGAGATACACTTTACACAATCTAATCTAATCTGTATCCTTCTGACTTACTAACTTAGAAATGTATAGAAATAATAAAGGTACAAGTTGTAAATTTAGTTCACTTATTGTGTGAATTGCAAATTAAGTCCTTAAAGATATAACTTGCATGTTTTTGTTGGGTTAATATTGTAACTTTAATTTTTCACTGGTAATATTTACATACTAAAAAAGAAGGCACATTCTTTTGAATCACACGGTCATATTTTAAAACATCATAAAATATACATAATATGAGAGAAAATGCAAATATAATATTTCCTGACTTGAATATGTTTTCTAATGGCAAAATTTCATGGTTTTAATAAAAATAGAAAATGCTTAATATTTGATTTTATATACTCTATTTAGAGAGAGACTTTACACTTAAATGTTTGTTATGTAGAAGAAATTGAGTTCTCAAAAATTTTTTGAAATTAGAAAATATTTCTCCTGAACTTTAAAAATTATAGTTCATTTGAATTGCTTATAATAATTTATACTTATTAAGGGAAAATGATAGGTTTTAGCAATTGTCATGTTAGTGTGAATTTCTCATTTGTTAAAAAGTAAAGCTTTCATTAAAAGCCAGCAAATTATCAATGACTGTGTTTTTTTGAACTGGGTCACAAATATCTCTAAAAGAAAACAGCAAGTAGAAAAATTAGCTATGAATGTAATACTAGTACTTTGGGGTATTTAAATGTGTCATGGAGACTTTGATACTTCTCATATGTATTATTTAGCTATTAAATTTATTTTTGAAGGTTCTTTGTTCATAAATAAAAATGTATGGAACCAGTTAGTGAAATGATGGTAAAAATATTATAAGAAAGGGAATAAGGATGGAGCATTTTCTTTTATATAAATAGTGGCTGTGTTGAAAACATCCACATCAGAAATGTCTCCTAAGAGCCGTATTTTATTGAATTCAAGATAACAGAAAGCAGGATAAATTACAGAAGAATGTTATAACATGGGCACAACACTATGATCCTCTAGATTCCTGAACTCTATACCACAGGTCTAGTCTTCCACAGTACAGAAATCAATCTATGCTATCAAAATCAAGAATATTTCTGATGATATATGTATATCATCTTTTTTTTTTTCATTTGAGTTTAATATTTTAAGCATAGTTTAAAACACCATCTCAAATTACTATTTGTAGACATAAAATCTATCTGTGGAAAAATATAGCATATAGAAAAAAGATGATTAAAAATTAATCATGATTATCATAACTGTTTAAAGACAAGCAAGTAATTGGAAAATTGGAAGTAAGATATCAGTTGATTTCATTTCCTTTAAAAATAAAATAAGTGTGGAACATAAAGATAAAAATTAATTACTTTGGGTACATAACAGTTTTCAACAACAAAATCCAATGCTTCAACATAAGTAAAATATATTTGCTATATATCTCTTTTGCTCTCCTTTGGCAGATGCCCTGTGGTATTCACTGTTAGTGTGGTGGTTCTTTTTCCATACACTAGGGGGAGGTGTGACATAATTACTCTGGAGGGGTTTTCAGCAAATTTTTGTCTTTAAGGATACATTTTCAAATCACTGGCTCTCTTTTTAGACATTGTATTTCTAGTATTCCCCAGCTGCACAAAATCACATCCAATTAAGGCTAATCAATAAACCATAATAAGTGGAACAAACTATGTAATCATTTATGAATATGAAAAATGAACTCCATTATGTATTACTATAATACACTCATAAAAACAGTTTTTTTAAAAAAAATAATACCTTTTCTTGGAATTATTTTTTTTCTTTAATTTTTGCATGATGGTAAATTTTTAAGTAAGGATATTTTATGACTTTCCCTGAATTAGTATGTAATGCAAAACACTTTACATTTGTCATATAAAAAGTAGTTATTAATAAATGAATGTGTAATCATTAGTTTTTATTTGTTAGCTGCTGCTTTTGAAGACTCAAAGACTCAACTTCCAAAGTACATGAGTTAAACAGAGGTAATAATCCCAAAGAGATACAAAGCTATAGTTTCACTTGTCAGTGTGCTTAAGCACCCACTCAAAGAACCAAAAATTTCTAGGAGCTTCTATGACTCTATTCATCAACAGTAAATATCTGAAAAACTGTCTATTTTGAAAATGCAAAGACATTTTAGGATTTGAAAGTCTATCTTTGACTTTTTAAACTGTTAGAGTTTCCTATAGGAGTGGTAAATTTGGATACAAATCAGACTGCACATTCTGACTATAAGTTATCTCATTGAAGCCTCGGGGAAATAAATAGCTCCTTCACCTGAATCTTTAAGCAATTATCCCAACAAAAATCTTCAGAACTTTATAGTAATTGGTCTGGATTTGATTTTCTTTGAATCCTGAATGATTCATGTTACAGATCTGTATGTTAGTCATTCACAATTTATAAATGGCAACTTAACTTCAGTATTTATGAATTGCAATCAATACTCTAGCAATCAAAACACTCACCTTTTCTATTTCAATACTTCAATTTTCTTTTTTGCCTAAACTCTTTCCCAGAATGGATCAGGAGCAATCCAGTCTTCACTTGTGGTTGTTTTTGATAATCTTTTAGGAGAAAAGAACCTTTGAGATTCTAAAATTGGGGAAGAATTTGGAGTGTGTGTGTGTGTGTGTCAGAGAGAGAGAGAGAGAGAGAGAGAGGACTTATAAAACAGAAGTCTTAAAAGATTGACTGGATCTACCTTCATGTTTTTACAATTTAGCTTCTATGCATAGGACTTTGGCATGGCAAATGTTGTTATCAATGGTTACTTGGAATTAAAAAGATAAAATTCAATTGCCTTGTGGAACTTTAAAAAACAAGGATGGAGATGGACAAAACACTAGAACTATTATGTGCTGTGGGGGCATTTAATTGCCTTGAACCTTGAGATGGAAGGAGGATAACTCCAAGTATTATTTAGCCAGGTTTTAGTTTTAATAAGCTAGAATGCTTGTTTAGACAGAGACTTTCTCCTCAGAAGAGAGATTGTTTTCCTCTAAGGACACACGGCCTCTTTCAACTGGCGTCTGCTTTTCTTCTGAAACACTTTCATAATCAAGGGACTTTACTTGCATGGGAGCCTGGGGACAGCTGATTTTTCTCTAAGGATGAAAAAAGTTACACATTGATTGCTGTTGCTCTGGGCGTGTTTGCTCCAGCGCCGGCAGAAGCTGGCTCGAGAGCACCCTCGAATTCACACATACACTCACTGAAATACGTGTCGAGCCCGTCAGAAACACATTCACACACACACACACACACACACACACACACACACACACACCCCTCCGCACCTCATTCTGATGGGTCCACCTGGAGTCAGGAAATCTGCATCTCCCTGGCATGGGTGTGTGTGAGATGAAAGCTTGTGTGTATGTGTGTGTACAGAAATCCATTAGAAGACCGCAGCTACCTTATTCTGGAAAGCATGCTGTGATTCTCATTCCAGTGTATGCAGAACAACAACAACAAAAAAATCAAATTGATATCAAACTTTTTTAAAAAATTTCTCTTTTCCGGAGGAAAAGAGTGGAGGAGCTTCTCCCGGTAGTTAAAGACCCGGGAGACCCGGCAGCGAGGCCCTGGGCGCCGCCGCTAAAGCGTATAGCTGGCTCGACTGGCAGCATTGGTTTCCCATCTAACTGATCTAATCAATGACTCTAAAGCACTGGGGCTCCTGGCCCCGCCCCCGCCAGCCTCTTCTCCGCCTCCTATTGGGCGTGGGCCGAGGAGGCAGGGCCTTGCTCCTCACGCGGATTGGCTGGCAGGGAATCAGTATCAATGTTTAAGCGGCGGCGTGAGGTGAATAGAGTCAGTCAGCAAGAGACGCTAGGGAGAGAACAGGGACTGCGAGCCCGGCGGATGCGGCAGCGGCGGAGGGCGGCTGGGGAGACGCTACTCCAACTGTTGAATTGAATTTTCACCTTTCATTTCCTCCATTGCTTTGCTTGCGGGGATGGATTTATTTGGTTTGAAATCCGCACGTCTTTCTCAGGCTTTGGGGTGATCCTGATGGGCAAGAGATTGAAAGAGACCACCCGTGACAGAAAAGGAAGAATTTAAAATAAAAATAAAAGCCCTCCACAACAGACTGAACAATTAGCTATGCACACCGATGCTGGACTTTGAATAGAGAATATTGAGAGGAAAATCTTGAACTATGATACGGGGCTAAGCTGAGAATAATCTCTGGAAACGTGATTTTTTCCCCCTTAAGACTCTGAAAGATTTGGGGGTGTCTCACGCCTAACCGAGATAAAGCATTTTTTTAATAAAACAAAACAAAACAAAATAAAATAAATACACCTAGCAAAGCAGACGACTTGTTTTCCAGAACCTCGGACTCCGGCAGAAAGAGGTAGAGTAAAAGTGCTCCTGGATTCAGCATCACCTTCCTCCCCCACTCCCTTTCTCTCGTTTTTTTTTTTTTTCTTTTTTTTTCCCTCCGAAACATGAATCTGGTTTTTCTTTCTGTAGAGTGAGTCAGAGAAAGCGGTAGGAAGAAGCCGCAACTAATGTCTGTGAAGGGAGGACCATGAGGCGAGAGTGAATACGATTCGTTCCGCTGCTTCTGACTCATCCGGCAGATCAGAACACCTGCATTTCTAGATGTGTCATTACCGTATATCGAGGCGTCTCGAGAACCCGAAATAATGTGTAGACAAACCTTTGCCTAACCTCCCCTTGGAGGTAGCTTCCCGGGGTGGGCTCCTCTGGCAGGACCGCCGCGGCCCGCAGCTTCTCACCCCCTGCCCTCCCGAGTCACCCAGAGAGACTCTGTGATAGCGAGACTGCAGAATGCATCACGCCAAACCTTGATGTGTTTCTTTCATCTAGCCCTTTCCTCCTACTATTAATTTTTTAATTATTTTTAGGAAAAGAGAAAAGACCCGCACCTTAATCTCTTCAAATATTCACCACTTTTATTCTTCGCCAAGGTTTTCTTTTCTAGATGAAGAGGACTGGGAGACTGGGCCATTGGAAGGAGGTGCTGAATAGAAAGAAAAGAGAGGCACTTGACAGCCCAGCCCTGTGAATGCAGAGACTGTTTCCCTTCTAGCGAGAGACAGGGAGAGTGTGTGTTGGAGGACTGGGAGGGTGGCTCCCCCTTCCTTTTTATTCGGCCTCCCCCCTCCCCCTTCAAATCTGCACGTCCAACCATGAGTTGCCTGTTGATTTCCTTTTGCCTGGGAAGGAAAGCAAACTGGAATTAAACTGCATGGAGAGAAGTCCTTGCTCACAGGAAGAGAATGGGATGGTAGTGGCGGCTACTGGCTTCGCGTAGATACCAGAGTGTGTTCCACGACCAGAGGCGGAGATATATCTCTATATTTTCCCCTCCCAATAGACTCACACCGCAAATGCTGATCAAGCTGTGGCTTTCTTGATTTCGGGGGAGAGCCTTTTCCGAGGAAGAGAGGGAGGAGCCTGGTAGGGGGAGGAAACTACAAATCGGGACACTAGTTCTATGTGCTGCATTTCCTCCCCTCCCTTTGGCTGCTCGGAAAGGAGAAGAGAAAAAAATACGCTTGGCTGGGAGATGCAGTCCGCCGCCGCCGTTGCCTCAGCCAGCAATGCAAGATTAGATCTCTAAATGCAGCAAAACACTGCCTGAAAACAGACCAGCCTGCGCAGCAAGCAGACATTTCACAGTGCGCCGACGAAGCTTCAAAAAAATATATCTGTGACTCTCTGTTCGTGCTCCTCATTCCCATCAATTTCATCACGGGAGACGAGTAACAAGTAAGGATTTCACTTTCCGATCTGCCTGGAGACACACCTCCCCGAACCCTCCCCCACCCGATGTGAAGAGTATTCTGTAGGCTACCGGCTGGAGTGGATTTGCAGCGCCCTAGCGGGAGCCAGGAAAACCTACCGATTTTCTTTAGCTCATTATCATCCCTCCCAGACTCGATTTCCTTCTTATCGCCGGCCTCATCGCTCAAGTTTGAGCCTCCTGAAGTCCAGGCGGGAGAGACAAAGCCCCGGGCTCGCCCTCAGCCGCAGGGAGCCGCCGCCTTGCTCCAAGCCGCTGCAGCTCCGCTGCGCCGCTGCTTCTCCCCCAGTGCGGATGCTGTAGATCAACAGGTTCGGGGAACTTGAGCGGAATAAGGAGAGACTGCCTGCTGCCGCAGCCCGGGTGTGGAAGGAAGGAAGGACCTACAGACTTGTGGCTCGCGTCGCGCGCGCGCCCTCCTCCCGGGCCCCAGGCTGGCGCGCACCCACAGGCTTGCCCCTTCAGTCCGGCTGCTTCTGCCCCCACCCCACCGGTCTGGGATGTACCTTTCCATCTGTTGCTGCTTCCTTCTATGGGCCCCTGCCCTGACTCTCAAAAACCTCAACTACTCAGTGCCTGAGGAACAGGGGGCCGGCACGGTGATCGGCAACATCGGCAAAGATGCTAGACTGCAGCCAGGGCTTCCGCCCGCTGAACGCGGTGGCAGCGGCGGGCGAGGCAAGTCGGGCAGTTACCGGGTGCTGGAGAACTCGGCACCGCACCTGCTAGACGTGGACGCTGATAGTGGGCTGCTTTACACCAAACAGCGAATCGACCGTGAGTCCTTGTGTCGCCACAATGCCAAGTGTCAGCTGTCCCTCGAGGTGTTCGCCAACGACAAGGAAATCTGTATGATTAAGGTAGAGATCCAGGACATCAACGACAACGCTCCTTCTTTCCCCTCAGATCAGATCGAAATGGACATCTCCGAAAACGCGGCCCCGGGAACCCGCTTTCCCCTTACCAGCGCACATGACCCAGACGCGGGCGAGAACGGGCTCCGCACCTATCTGCTCACGCGCGATGACCACGGTCTCTTTGCACTGGACGTCAAGTCCCGCGGCGACGGCACCAAGTTCCCAGAGCTAGTCATACAGAAGGCGTTGGACCGTGAACAACAGAACCACCATACACTTGTTCTGACTGCCCTGGATGGAGGCGAGCCTCCCCGATCTGCTACGGTGCAGATCAACGTGAAGGTGATAGACTCTAACGACAACAGCCCGGTCTTCGAGGCGCCCTCCTACTTGGTAGAACTGCCCGAGAACGCCCCGCTGGGCACCGTAGTCATCGATCTGAACGCCACTGACGCTGATGAGGGTCCCAATGGTGAAGTGCTCTACTCCTTCAGCAGCTACGTGCCCGACCGCGTGCGGGAGCTCTTCTCCATAGACCCGAAGACCGGCCTTATTCGTGTTAAGGGCAACCTGGATTATGAAGAGAATGGGATGCTGGAGATAGACGTACAGGCCAGAGACTTGGGACCTAACCCAATCCCGGCCCACTGCAAGGTCACGGTCAAGCTCATCGACCGCAATGACAACGCGCCGTCCATTGGTTTCGTCTCGGTGCGCCAGGGGGCGCTGAGCGAGGCCGCCCCGCCCGGCACAGTCATCGCCCTGGTGCGGGTCACTGACCGAGACTCGGGCAAAAACGGGCAGCTGCAATGTCGAGTCCTAGGTGGAGGAGGGACAGGCGGTGGTGGCGGCCTAGGCGGTCCCGGGGGTTCTGTTCCCTTCAAGCTTGAGGAGAACTATGATAACTTCTACACTGTGGTGACTGACCGCCCGCTAGACCGAGAGACACAGGATGAGTACAATGTGACAATCGTGGCGAGGGACGGAGGCTCACCTCCACTCAACTCCACCAAATCGTTCGCGGTCAAGATTCTGGATGAGAATGACAACCCTCCTCGTTTCACCAAAGGGCTCTACGTGCTGCAAGTGCATGAGAACAACATTCCAGGAGAGTACCTGGGTTCCGTGCTCGCCCAGGATCCCGACCTGGGCCAAAACGGCACAGTGTCCTATTCCATTCTGCCCTCGCACATTGGCGACGTGTCGATCTACACCTATGTGTCTGTGAACCCCACCAACGGGGCCATATATGCCCTGCGGTCCTTTAATTACGAGCAGACCAAGGCTTTTGAGTTCAAGGTGCTTGCTAAGGACTCTGGAGCACCCTCGCACTTGGAGAGTAATGCCACGGTGAGAGTGACAGTGTTAGACGTGAATGACAACGCGCCAGTGATCGTGCTGCCCACGCTGCAGAACGACACCGCTGAGCTTCAGGTCCCGCGCAACGCTGGCCTGGGCTACCTGGTAAGCACCGTGCGCGCCTTAGACAGCGACTTTGGCGAGAGCGGGCGCCTCACGTACGAGATTGTGGATGGCAATGATGACCACCTGTTTGAGATTGATCCATCCAGCGGCGAGATTCGCACGCTGCACCCTTTCTGGGAGGACGTGACACCTGTGGTGGAACTGGTGGTGAAGGTGACAGACCATGGCAAGCCCACCTTGTCCGCTGTGGCCAAGCTCATTATCCGGTCGGTGAGCGGCTCCCTGCCAGAAGGGGTACCCCGGGTGAATGGCGAACAACACCACTGGGACATGTCTCTGCCGCTTATTGTGACTCTGAGCACTATCTCCATCATCCTCCTAGCGGCCATGATCACCATAGCTGTCAAGTGCAAGCGCGAGAACAAGGAGATCCGCACTTACAACTGCCGCATCGCCGAATACAGCCACCCTCAGCTGGGCGGGGGCAAGGGCAAGAAGAAGAAGATCAACAAAAATGATATCATGCTGGTGCAGAGCGAGGTGGAAGAGAGGAACGCCATGAACGTCATGAACGTGGTGAGCAGTCCCTCCCTGGCCACTTCCCCCATGTACTTCGACTACCAAACCCGCCTGCCCCTCAGCTCGCCCCGGTCAGAGGTGATGTATCTCAAACCAGCCTCCAACAACCTAACTGTCCCTCAGGGGCACGCAGGCTGCCACACCAGCTTCACAGGACAAGGGACTAACGCGAGCGAGACCCCTGCCACTCGGATGTCCATAATTCAGGTAGGAGACTTTTAGCGTAACTGGGACTGAATTCACTTTATTGCTGGTGTTGGAGCTGTCCTGAAACCTTTAGAACAGGACAAGCCATGCTGCCAGCAGCAGTGAAGGGAATTTTAAAACTCAAAATGGTTTAAACTTTAACACTGTGTGTACATCAGATTTTACACATAAACCTTCACATATAATAGTCTGAAATCTGTAAGATGTAAATGTCTTAATTCTGTTGTTTTTTTAAAGTTTATTTTTGTAGATTTCAAAAAGTTAGCAGTGTACAGTAGTCCTAGTTCATTTTACTTTGTTTGTTAGTCTACATTACTTTTTGAAACAGGAATTCCAGAGTAGAAAAAAGGTAATTCTCTTTAAAAGACTTTAATTCATTTTAAAATTTTTGATGCTAAAATGAAAAGTAATTATATCTAAATATTAGCTTCTAAAATTACAGAATAGGAACTAGTCAGAATTCTAGAGCTTGATTCAATTTCACTAAGTCACCACTCCCCAAAAAGTTAAAAAGTGCTTTAAAGGACACAGATCTCATTTATTCTTCAGATGAAGCTGCAGCATAATGCATTAGTGTAACTTGTGCTTTTGAATTGTGAGTTAAATACTTGAAGTTATTCCAAAAGTTTGAATAAATCCAGTCTGGGGGTAGTGACCTGTAAATATCTAGGAAAAACTTAAAATTTGTTGTATCCTGTGTTTTTTTCTGATGTTTTTTGAAGTCACTGAGGAATGAATAGAGCCACAGGATCATTATGCAAGAGAGTCACAGAATCATTTTGTGCTAATGAAAATGGAAGGCAAAGTTGCACTGGATTTTAGGTTGCATTTAGTTTACATAGTGTGATTTTCAGTATTTCTAAGTGATGTTTATTATATATTATTTAGTATGATTCAAATCTACTAATATATGACAAAAACTAAATGACTGACAAAGCATAGATACAGATTCTTTAAAAAGGTGGCTGTATTATGACCACTCTGTCTAGTTTTCTTTTATTCACATTGAGTTGTGTCTCAGAAAATCTTAATTTTTGTTCATTATGAATGTGTGTTATTATAAATTACTCTGGATGAGCAGTGCTTGAAGTTTAAAATTGAGCTTAACTAAAAGTGACACTTTGGGAGGAAAATTAGTGCAAGGTAAATGAAAAATAATTTGTTCATATTACTATGCTTTGAAAAGCAAATAATTTTTAATGACACTTGACTCAGTAATGTTTTTATTTTAAAATTGAATATCAAAATTTAATAATCCTATTCTTTCACATAATAAGTGTTCCACATGCTAATTTTCAGCAAAACATATTTTCTTATAATAGCACAATATCTTGGTAAAACAAACCCTTATTCTTGATATTGTTTAATACTAATGTATCAATTATAGTATTAAATCCTACGTTTATAGTGTTAACTCTATATCAGTAATCATGATTTGGGGGAGTTCTATATAAACCTAAAAGGAATTTCCCATTTTAAAAATGTGGTTTCTGTGCAAGTCTTTCTGTGACTGTAAAATTGGTATATTGATAATATTTCTAATGGGGAAGATAATGCTTAAATGTATATATGTGTATAGGTATTTTTTGCAGCACTGGGGGTCAAATTCAGGGCACATGGGAGGCAAGCAATCAACCACTGAATTATACTCCAGTTCTAAAATATATATTAGAATCTATTGCAGTTATTTTATAAATACATTTGTATTGTAACATTTCTTATAGTTATATCATTAACAATGCAAAGATGTCACAAAGGGTTAATGCTTAATCCTTCACTTCAATTGCTATAAGTTGAATTTCCATTTAGTTTCTAACAACAAAAAAGTAATTGGTGCAAGTTGAATTCTCAGCAAGTCTGATTTCTTGGTGAGACTAGTGGGGAACAATGTTTGATTAAAATATCCAGAAGTTTTTAAGAGACAGTGATGTCTGTGCTGTGTTTACAACATGCTGTCCTTGAAGCTGATCACTGCTTAAGAGTGATAATGATGATGATTCTTCTCATTAACATTAAAAAGTCAAAATTGCAAACACACACACAAATATACAATTTAAGCAAAAAATAAAAGGCAAACTGTATTGATAGTCTCCTTTAGAATCTTAACCCATGCCAAAGACACAAAGTTTGATTTTTTCAAAGTAAATTAAATTCCCATATTGTTTATGTCCTGAAAATATTCTCAGCATCAACTGTTAAAATAGCTTTTTGTTGTATTGAATTTTTGCAGTCTTCTAAGGGATTCTTTGTAAATTCCTAATATATTTATGTATTTTTAAACGTATCAGTTTTATCTCAATACTTATTATGGAGAACATAGTAAATTAACTAGTGTCTTTTTAAATTGTGAAACTGGTATCCTGCAAACACATTATGCTAAAGTGGCATGCTTGAGTGAAAGCACATTGGTATAACATAATCTTGTTTCAAATGCATTTATTACAGCGTGTACATAATATAGCCCAGGAAGGAAACATAGCATTAATTTCATGTGTATTTCTGAAGGTAGACTTTGAATCCACAAAGTTCACTTGTACTCACAGCTATTAGGTGTGGTTCATCTTTTTGTTCCAGCATTTTGCAAGCTGCTTAGAAGTTTCAGAATATAATTCTACCAAATGAATTGGAAAGAATTTTATAAGTGTGTTTCAATACCCTGGTACAATGTGATGATAGAAAATTTAAGAACTTTGTGACTTATAAGGTTCATGTTACAGCTAAGGCTCATGTTACAGCAAAAGTTAAGATTTATTTAAGCATCAAAGCATTTGTGTGTGTTTCATAGCATCTAAGATATAAATTTTAATGTCTGCAGGTTTTTCTTATGCACAAGAGTGCTTTTACTGAATGTGGATCTAGAATAATCATGTAACCTGTATAGAAACAAGAGTTTCTGAGACAGAATTTTACTTTAGGTTTTTATCAAGTTCCTTGAATAAATTAAAGCAACCTATATAGTATTTAAACAATAGATTTTAATAGATTAAAATTACCCACAGTAGTGTCAATTATACCAAACATAGTTAATAATTAAATAATTTGTTCATTTTAAAACTGCAAGACTGATTTTGAAGCATAAGATCAAAGATTTTATGATGGGAAAGGCAGATAGATAGTTACACAAATTTATAAAATCTTTTCCATAGGAGAAATTTCCATGTGCATTACTTCATGTGATAATATGCAACCTAAAGTCAAGTGGAGATTATTAATAATAAGAATAACTACTAATTTTGGCTTATCAAGAATTTCTCATTATGTCTTAGGGTGACTTATCAACAGGTGTTTTCGATTAAGGCTTCCCAAGAGGTGAGGAAGCTGGGGACTTCTCACTGATAGGATTTCCAATTTTGTTTGAAGATCTCTTTCCATTTTTTTTAAGTACTACTACATGTCATTTTAACATGATTTCATAAAAGGAAATGTATTGAACCAGCAAAATAAGATTTACTAAAATAAAATTTTTAAAGAAATATATTTTTTGGTGTTTCGAAGATCAATTTTAATGATTCATAATGTTTAATGATTTTAATGATTCATAAACATCCTTTATGATAGGATGATAGAATTCTTTTGAAATATATGTATGACCTTTTCAATAAAAAAGAATTAAGCACATGGTAAATACATAGATTCCATCCAAACATATAAAAATGAGATTGATCTGTAGAGAACTAGATATCATAGTATAAACAATAAATTCAGTATTTCAAAATGAAAGGTAAAAGTAAAAGTCTTTCTTTAATAGCAACATTATCCACTACCCATCTTATTCCCACTTCTCCAATACAGGAGGTTCTGAACTATAGAGATTCATTACAATGATTCCCAAACTCCTGACCTCCTTCACACTTCATATATCATTAATATAGGATATTAATGATGTTAGTAACAAATATACACTGTGAACAATTTCATTTGTCATGTATAATTTTGCAGGTATTATGCTGCAACTTTTATTCTAAGGAGGCACCTTTGATTAGTTATGTTTTAATTTCTATAAACTATATATAATATGTATTAATAGGGGTTGTGGTGGTTTGAGTGTATCATTCCTGGACTGTTTTTCCTCTTGAAATGTTCTGAAAACATATGAGGAGTAATTTCTAGTTCAGAGGAACAAATCACAGTCATTAAAGATTTTTCTTTTATTATGCATTAAAAATAGTACAAATAAAGTAGCAAACTTAATTTAAAATGTAATTAGCCATTAAGTGTTTAAAGTTTCTTTGGAGAAGAGTTTTAAATTATTTTAAAATTTCAAAATGAGTACCATTATTCCTTATATTCATTAATACTTTTATTCGTAGTTACATGTGTGTCTTCAAAAATTCCAGCTCCGATATAAATCTATGGGCATTTCTCTATTTCTCAGTAAAGAAAAACAAAAGAATCTTATTTTTTAAATAATAGTTGATAACACTTCATCAGGCAATAATTTCTTTATTCGTTAGCTTTTAGTTTTCAATGAAATTTCCAAAATTCTAGCTAGGTGATATTTTGTCATATTAATGAAGATAATAATTCACCAGGCTTTTAAAAGTGTAGGAGTAAGATAAGTTTTAATTTTACTTGAGTTGTATGAGCGAGTCCTATAATTTCAATATATATTATCACATATGAGTCTGTACCAAAAACTTGGGATTTTATTCTTGGCATCCCCATGTAATTTAAAGCTCTATGTGATCACAGAAAAGTATGCTTTAAAATGCGTAACTATATGAACATACATTTTATCTATTAAAAAAAGTTACATTTCCTTAAAGAGATAGCAACTATTGACTATATTTTTCAAGGCATGCATAAAAACACACAAAATATACTTTCCAGAGAATTTTTCCCATAAAATTGATACAATAATACATTACTTGCTTCTTTATAATACAATTCTTATATATGAGGTTAAAGCATTTATTCTTAAAATAATGCCAAATATTATCTCCATTAAAATTATGAATTTTAGGTATTTTAAGGAAAAAGAAACCCTTCACACTCTTTAG